GCAAACGCCAAGGACACTTTATCGGCATAGTATCATATTGTACACAAGCAACTGTAATTTTTTGTTTGTTCGATGCCACAACGACAAATTGAACATTATTTATGATTGACCAACCGTGCAAGGCGAATTGCAGTTCTGATTTTCTCCGGAAACACATATTTTCTACCAATTCATTCGGAATGATAAATTCATCATATGTGATGCTAAAAACATTACTATTATCCGGTGCAACATCCTCATTCTATTGACGTGTAGTCTTAGGAATCTCAGCATATTCATTATTAGATGTCATGCCCTCTTCTGTATTTGCAGTCCTTGTACAGTAATCACGAATAATATCATTGGTATTTGGCTGAACACCTACATTAGTTACAGTAAAATCATGGATGATATCATCAAACTCTTCATCCTCATCATCACTTGAACCACTGCTCATTGTCTTATATCCTTCATCATTGATAGTAGGAGCTGATAATCTAATATCATTGACTTCAAAAATAGAAGTACCCTGGGATTGTGTTGAAGGACCGGCCAAATTCTGATGGTATGGAGTTTGTGTGGATCTGTATTTATACTTATATAATGTTAGATAATATTGAATAGGATTTTACTTTAGAAAAACCAAAATCTCCTTTAAAACTAACATACCCGACATATGGAATTGGGATTGCCATAGCCATCCCCGCAGCATCATGCATCTCATGTACATGATCTAGTACGACTGAATCACGAATTTTACTCGATATGTCTTTATCCAAATTAATATCATTATGAATTTCCTCAACCTCCACATATAGTATCAAAACTTCAGACGCAGCTAAGGATAATGCAAATCCACAACCTTCATCATCCTCAAGTTTCGAGGCCATGAATTGGTTGCCCACTGGAAAACGACCCACAATGGTCACTGCGAACTTTGAGGGATCAAACTTTAGGGCCCTGAGAACTCGATCCTTCAACTGCTTCAAATTCGAGTTGAATGGAACTTGTAGGGGCCGACACTGACCACCAATATATGTTGGCGAAAAATTTGCATCTAATGATAACTCTCCATCATATAACAACATAAAGGATGGTGGTCTTGCACTCATTTTAAATACCTACATTTAAATTTGAATGAATATATTTATTTCAAATCATAAACGTGATCTTCGTAACATTTCATAAGAAGTCATAAGATGTTCCAATAGATACTTACAATAATCATAAAATGTTATATATATATATATATATATGTGTTGAGTCTAGTAATTAGGTTGTTAAGCCTAAGTAAATGTCCCACGGCTACCAAGAGGGGGGTGAATTGGTAGTT